CCTGGACAGACGCTGGGGTAGCGGCTCTGTGCACCTGTACCCCAAACGTGGACAGCAGCACGTTCATTACAAAGCGAGAGCCCAGCTCAGCGGAGAGGGCAGGATCATCCCTCCCCACTGCACACTGAGAACCCAGAAGCTTCTTAGCCATAATTAACAACCACAGGGTTTTGCACTTCCCCTTGTACCGCGTCCCCTCCAGGGCTGCCTGCAGCCTTGCTGGAGGCGTTGAGAAGCGCGATGGGGCCCTGCGGCGCCTTCCCCGCCACCGCTTTCTTCCTCCCTGCCCCAAAATCCCAAGAACTGTCCCTGTTCCTCCTAGCTGCCCCAAAACAACTCAACCTCGGCTCAGCGGGACAGGGCCACGGGGGCTGAGATGGCTTGGAAAGCACCAACCAGAAACGCATAGCCACCTCTGACCTTAAGGTTAAAGGCAGCTAGGGATGCTCTGGCCGTTAAGAACAGAGCCGTCCCCAGGAATCAACAATAACATGCCTCTGATAATACACTTTCTCTGGGAAGTGCTCCTTAGTTTACAGGAATCTTATGAATATAAGAAAAGAGAACAGCCCAGAACTGGCTGGAGAAAGTTGATAAAAGGCAACTTAGTACATGTTTTTAGGCCTCTGCTACCAGTCCATCTGTCTTGTTTTAATCCAGCTTGGATTAAAACCGAAAAGGCAGTGAAGCCAAGGAGGAAGGCACTAGACCCAGGGTGTGCTTGTTATTTATGTGTTTCTTTATTTTGCATGAACTATTTTTCCACAGTGAGTTTTCTCTCCCCACTAAAAATTCAATTACATACATGAAACACTAGAAGTATTTCACGGATTTCAAACCAACTTGAATACAGTAAATTGCTTATTATTTTCCAGAAACAACCTGCAAGAAGCCTGGATAGCTATCGAAGTAGCTGGAGATCTGCAGGACACAGGTTACAGACGTGGCTGAAGGGATTAGCTTAGAATCATACAGAAAAGCTTGGCACATAAAGCTCTTAGTTCTAGCCTGCTAGTTCAAGCATAACCCACATACCTGCTTGGTGGCGTGCGTTAAATAAGCACAGTGGTTCCAGTGGATGTAAAGATTCAATTTCATCCTTCTGAAAGGCATAAGGGAAACAACAGATCCTATAGATCAAGATCAAAGCACGTTAATAAGGCCAATGGATTTATCCGTCCGGGAGGAGAAAAAGTTCACAGCATAAAACCCCGTATACATACACGTGCACACACAAAGTCAGGAAAAACACACTTCTGGTTTGCTCCGTATAGCAAACCTCCATCCCAGGAGGAGAGTAATTGTGTTTCAGGTAGCATACTCCAAGCATTTACACTAAATTGTTTATGTTCTCTCAGCTCTAGTACCTCATACTTAAAGGAAAAAACAAGCTACTCTACCTAGTCTTCCTCAGGGAAGGAAAAAAAATTCCTTCATCTATCGTGTGGTACTTTTTCTCCTTTGTAAAATCAGAAATAAGACTAAGGAATAGAGATTGCAAGTCCTGGGCACGGAAAGGAGGAAGATTCTTAAAATACCACAATTATGTCCTTGCAATGATCTAATATTCTCCATTAGAGAGCGTGAAATCAAGACAGATCACTGCGTTTAGGGGAGGAGCGGCAAGTTACCTCCCCACACATTAGAGGAGCAGTAAAGCATCGTCACATCGTGTGAAGGCTGTTATAAGTCTTTAAAATTAAGTCTAACATTCAGTTCTCAGTCAACTTCACACATGACTAAAGCGTTTTAGAGAACAGGCCACAGTCATAACTCATTCAGTTTCAAAGCTGCTGATTGTTGCTAGCTTATGTTAGCGTCGATAAAAAAAAAAAAAACAGTGCTATCTCCCAGCAAGGCCTTCTCATTGGGAGTGCTGAGTGCAAAAATTGAAATCAATTCAAAGCAACATTCATAGCTTTACAATGTCTTATCATAAGTTTGACATGTAGTTTGCTCTGTTAAGAACACCTGAACTCAAAAATCACAGCTACAGATCAATAACCGTACTTTCATGTGCAATACCCTATACATTTACCTTATTAACTTATTTGGAAGCCACAACTGCTGTTACACTTGCTTCTTCCTGTTTGCAAAGAAGAAGAACGTGAAAATAAAGCAGCTAGACAGCAATGGAATCGTCTAAGACAATTTAGTATTATTGCAAAACATCATTTAAAACAGGGCTAGCAGTATTAAGCTATGAGAAACATTGGATGCAATTTAGGTTTTAACAGTAGATTAAGGGTTTTCGCCTCTATTTTGCTCCTCTAATCAGCCAAAGTGCAAATACTACAGATGCAAGGAAGGACAGAGCCCTTACAATAAATCCATTTATTTTAGGGACAGACTTCTTGCCTTGCCTTTTTACGTTTTGTATTTAGGTGACGGGTGCCGACCAGCAAGTCAAGGCTCCTGGTTGTCCCTTCCTTCTCCATAGCAGGGAATTCCGGGAGGCACAGGGAAACTCTAAGGGGCTAGAGCAGGCAGACAGATCAGTACAGCGTCTTTTGGTATGCTTTTTCTTGATGTTTCTGCAGCGCAAAGTGAAACTCTGTAGACCACCATCTTCTGCTGATGTTCCTTCAACAGAGCAGACTTTTAGCACAGCAGACATCCGTTTACTGAATTAGAATTCAATTGTAATAGGCATGGAAGAGAGAAAAACAGGTTCAGGGTTTTTAAAAATATTGTGGAGTACACTGCAGTAAGAGATTATCCTCCCAAATCTCTAGGTATTTTGGTGAGGTGCACGAGCTCAGGGAATCCTATCCCCAGCCTCAGATCATGAAGCTGGTGGCAAGGGCCAGGTGCCTGCGGTCCTGGGGCCCTCGGCTGGCTCCTGCCTGTCCGGCTTCCCAGGGAGCCCCAGGGCCAACCTCCATCTCCCCACGCACTCGTAGGCCACGGTGCGGCTCGCTCTGGCCAAGCCTTACCTGTTCGGAGGCCTTTACTTCTGGGACTGCCTTGAATTACAGCCTTGCTTGCATCTCTGCCCTTTTCTATTATCTCTCCAGGTCCATCCTATTCCTTAAACAGCTCTGCTATGCAGATAGCTGGGTACAAATTTAACTCACTTCTCAATTCAGAGAAAAAAAAATACTAAGTAAAAATGGGTAGTTTTTTTCCTGGGTTGACGAATTGTAGGGGTTCACAAGAGGATCCCACAAGCACGCCAGTAAATGCCAGGGAGGGAACAAAACCAAGCAGCTGGGAGCGAGCCAGCCGGCTGTGGCTCACCATTTTGGTAGCGGTGAACAAGCAGGTCAGTTCAGTTGTCCCTGAAACTCCATAGGCTACTCTGGGACACAGCACCGAAAGTAAGTAGGACCTTTTATCTCTTTCCTGAACGTAAAGAATCATTCCAAAGCACTGAAGGAGTTTTATCCTTGCTTGCGTGTGACTCGAGCTTATTTTGAAACTGAAGCATATTTTTACACTATGATGCCCCCCACCCCCCAAGTTACCATTACACATTAGCTGAGTACCAAGCACCTTAAATTAGCAAGCTACCCTTTGGGTTGCTGTAAATACATTGGCCATTGGCCTTATTTATTACTTCATTGGGTGTTTTTTTTTTTTTTTTAAAAAGTACAAAGTCCTGCTAAAATCATACCAAGATGCCTTTGGTCCTTTGCAGTTAAACATTTTACACGTTATCAAATAAGACACCATAGAATGCACATTTAAAAAGACTAGTCATAAAAAACTGAAATTTATTTTTAATTTAAAAAACAAACTGAGATTGTTTCTTGATAAAAATTATTCACACAGCATTCATGTCGTGATTTTTTATTTTATTTTTGAAATGAAACCATTGTACATTGTACAAACCATAACTACTGATGGAATAAATAAGTGAAAAATTATACTGCTGTACAACACACACACACACAAATCATAAGATGGAAAACGATTAGGTATTGAAGAAAACAAAATTCTTTACACCTTCTAACAGGCCCTTAGATATAAAGAACATTCCAAAACATGACAATGTTTATGTATGAAGATAAGCCACCCAAAACCAATATTTTTATACTGCCTTGTTGATTATTTTTTGTTGTTTTTGTAAGTGCCAGCACTTTTTGGAATGTTTAACAACTACTTTCCCAAGCATAAAAATTCCAAGGAATAGTTCTGCTATAAAATGTTTGGCTGAGTAAATCGCTTATTCGGAAGGCCTTCCCACGTGTTCCGCCAACTCAGCTAATTTACTTGCTTGCTTCTCGTTTCTTTTGCTTTTGTAAATGAAGCTCCAACATTCAGCATTGTAGCAAGGAAGCACTTCCTGAAATTTGCACTATTTCTAGAACGTTAGCTGTATGAGAACTTTCAGTCATCTTGACGAAAATTACATCTCTCCTCCCGCTCCACGTCTCAATGCTTTCAGTAAACCCTTTTACAGTGAGTTCATAAAACAAGTTTCTGGTAGAGACAGGTCCAAGCCAAAAAAAGCTGGATTTAGATCTGGTTTCAAACCTTACGCGGGTTTGAACCCTATGTTCTGGTTTGGTCCCGTCTGTACTTTCTGGCATTAAAATGTGTTTAATCACATCCGTTGGCCTATAAATGTTATCAGGCACTTCAAGAAAAGACTAATAACAGTCTTATACACTATTTTGGATTTCTTCATACCAGGTAATGTCAAAGTCTCTTCTCAGAGACTGACAAAAACAGGTTTAAGGAACCCAAATCTATCTGCTTGTTCAGCTGTCTGTTGTCACTAGAATCTCTGGTTAAAAAAAAAAAAAGTTCTGAATGTATTTTGTATAAGCTGTAAATAAAGCATTACTATTTTAGAAACAAAGCTTCTAGGAATATGGTTATGATGCCTTGCTTTTTAAGCCACAGAACAACAAACAGTTCTGAGCAGAAGCCACAAGAGAGAAAAGGAATTTTTTTAATTAAACTTGTTGATGTCAATAACGCCAATAAATGCTTCTATCTAATGAAAAATTTGAGGTATTTTAGTGCTATTTATACATTTTATTTCTTCCTAAAGTACAGGAATTAGTTCCTAAACCAAAAGTCTATTTACTCCCTTGGAAACGTCTACAAAATTAAAATAAAAAAAAAAAAACTTGCTGTGATGCACCTGAAGACAGGGATTAGTAAACATGACTACTTTTCAAAGGTGGCATCAGATTAATTTTAATCAATAAAAATAAGAAAAAGCTAGTAAATCAAAAATATTCGTAAGTTTGAATCCTTCTAAATTTGCCCATTTAATATAGCAATAGAATTTCTCACAAAATATCACTTAAATCTGAATGTAATATACATACAAATCAATTGTCATTGACCAGTTATCCACATTTTAGGCATACACACAATTCAAGAGAGAATTCTACCATTTCATTGCATATATTGTGCAAATATTTTTTGGCTCCTCATTTCCTTATTTTCAGAATGTTAGTGGACTTCATGATCAGACCAGAAATCCCAAAAACTTATTAGGGAGCACACTGCTTTCATGAATGATTTGCAATCAAATTTTATTTAGTTAAAATCCAAAAAGTTTATTTCAACATAAAGAAAAAATCCCGAAACTGAGTGTTGTATATTATTTGGAGTTTAATCCTACAAACATTTTATGGAAGGTCAGTACTGGCTCCCCAATCCTCCCTCCCTCCATTCCCTCCCCTGACTTCCCCCATTGTTTTTCATAGTAAAATGGTAATTGCAAATGCAATGCAGTAGTCTAAGTGCAAGCCATTTTCACTATTGGAGAATTCAGAAATAAATAAGCTTAATGAAGAGCTAATTATGAAAATGTATCAACTGGAAGCAATCTTTTCATTTAAAAAAGTATTTACAGTTCTTAGCTTACAAACTATATGCAACCATTTTCATAGCTATGAGATCATATTTTAAATTACAAGTTCCATCTCCCACACAAATAGAAGACAGACTAAGGGCCCAATTCAGCTGTGTGTGTGTGTGTGTGTGTGTGTGTGTGTGTGTGTATGCGCGCGCGCGCGCGCGTACGCATGCACACGTAAAGAGTTTTCAAGTGATAAATAAGTGCTTCCCCCTGACATCAGGTATTTATAACTGGGTGCCCACCCTGGAAGTACAAAGCCCACTGTAAGATCAGGCCCTTATGACCTGACCTTTGCAGATGGCCCTGCACCTCTAAATGCCACAAATCTGAAGGGAGTTGCACAAGCTCAGCGCCTTTCAACCAAGTTTAGCATAAGCATACTTCAACATAATTGAAAAAGAAAAAACATTTCTACCAATGATGTAGAGACTATGGAAACAACAAGGCTTATTTACAAGACTTGCTGAAAGGAAAAGAAAATCCCAAATACAGTATTGACCTGGAACACAGAAGTAAACATCTTATAATGAAACAGTACAATGAAATCCAGTTCAGTGAAAACCTGATATCAAAAAAGACCAATTGAAAATAAATTCACTGTGCATCAATCCCTTTGATCCTATTTATGTACATAGTGGAACTCTTCTGTAAAGAAAGTTGTACCCAGTACAGAGATCTGGACCTAATACGTAAGTATTTTAACTGTTGTGTTATAGTATATATTCAGATCTGGACTATAAATGGTAAACAGATCATATGTTAACTTCTGATGAAGTTAAGTATTTAGAAGACCAAATTTACAGTTGCGAATGCCATGCATTCAATAAAAGATCTCCACTATAGCTGCTAACATAAAATATCAAGCTCCTTTTTCTCCTTGGACTCCAAGAGTGAAAATGGCTTCCTGATCTGTATTTGTTAAAATTTAAGCACCAGGGATTTAAAATTAAAAAAAACAAACAAAAAAACCCCAAACCAAAAAAAAAAAAAAAGAAGAAGAATCAACCAAAAATCTTACTACATGGCATTATACAAACATAGGTCACTTTGCAAAGGAGACAGTTGCAAAACAACTTTTAAAAGTTAGCACTGTTTTCAGAACACAAGGCACAAAACAAAAGCAGACATCACGCCAGAACAATGAACTTCACATGAAAGCTAATACCTGACCTGTACCATCCTTAAATATCTTACATTGTTAAATAGAGAAATGAAAAAAAAAATACAGCAGCAACATAATTGTAATTTTGACTTTAGAAACAGTGCGTAGACCCCTCCTGAGTTGTTTACTCCAACCATTTCAGAGACAGTAACTTAAAAGTTCTCAAATGTTTGTTTCACAGGAACAAGTTTTCAGTGTCTGAGAAGTTAAACCTTTGTTAGGCTTTCTTGGATTTTTGCTTGGTAACTTGAAAAGTTAGGAGTTCTGTCCTCATCCAAGAGAAGATGCTTAAGTAAGGTTGTTCTATAATTAAGCCCACTGATGTACCTTACATAAAAACTGACCAGAAAAATCTATAGTCTAAATCTCTTCAACATTTTGTTGGGAAGCCTCTACTTTCATCTTTTTAGAAGGTGGCACTCCTTCAGAGTCCTTAACAGGGGGGAAAAAGAAAAACAATCATGTTATCATTGCACTGAATCTCAGGTGCCATAAACATCAAACAAGAAGCAAGAGCAAATTCCTTGGTGTGTCATTTGTAAAATACAAATTATCCCTGGATATGAGAATGACATGACAAGTCAATTTGCTCCCTGAAATCACCCCTCTACTGCCACCTCACCTCAACTTCTTTACACTTGTTGTCATTTACTGACAAAGGGCTACGTTCTAGTGAATATTCCACACGCAACAGCTTTGATGCAGTTATGCTGGGACTTCCCTTAGCTCCATCGAGCACAACCAGGCTCAAGCATAGCAAACGCACATGAATTTGCTCCTGCTGTAGCCAAAGCAATCTCTACAGGACAGAACGTCCAAGGTTTCGAAAGAGCAAGGGGTGCACTGAAACAAGCCAGCCATCCAGAAGGAAAGCCAATGGACTGAACAGTGCTTATTTGAGGATCCCAGCGTGAAGGGAACAACTGCAAGGATAATTTCCTCCCTCCACCCAGAATTTTTCAGTATTCCAGAAACTGTTCATCACATCGTCTTGTCCACTGAACTGACAAGCACCCACTTTTCTAAATGCTATATATATTTACTTTTATAGAAGATATTTTACTTCTGAATGACCCTCAAAAGCACCTTTCCAGTAGGTAAGGTCCAAAGAATTCATTATTAACATTACATTTTAGTATTCCCTTACAAAACTAACACAGCCTAGTATTGGCAACCTGAAAAGTAAACCAGACCAATTGAGTGTTACTATTCAAGTCGAGTGAAATGCAAGAAGCCAACCAAATGAACCATAAGAACAGATACATACGCATACATTTAATAGTCTACAATGTCCATTTAACACTCTACAGCTGCTTTATTGTCATCACCTTAGGAAATGAGCCTAAACGTACAGCTGGCCTCCTTATATTTGCCTTTTAATAAAAATGTTCTCTTCCAAATAATTGGGCTTTTGCACATAAGGTTACCTGAGAGTTTTTAGATGCCTCTGTAATTATATCATTTTCTCCAGAGGACTGAATTTCTGCTTTCTCTGAACTATTCATAGAATTTTCCATTGAAGACTGTGAATTCTGTTCGTCAGAGGTATCTGAAATGTCAAGAAATCATTTTAAACAAAGAAATGAAAGAGCTCAGCAGGAGCTTTTAGGATGTTTTCTCACCAGCAACACCCCAACCAAAAATTTCACTCCTGAGTAACCATTAACGATAATGTATACATCATCACTGTAAGTTGTAATGAATTAAGCTCAAACTCCAGAGTCAACAGCACAGGCTGCTGCCACTTGAGTAGACCTTCGCCTTCATGCTACCAGCAGGATACATTTGCTGCGATGGGTCCCTAGAGGGAGCTAAGCTCACACGTGCCCTGTATTGCAAAGTATTTCAATGCTAGTTGCAAACAAGTTTCAACATAAACTTTGTAAAAGGGCTGAAACCTATGCAGCTTGCTTTGAACCAGAAGTAAGAGGCAGCTACAGATATCGCTGAATTGTGACAACAAAGGGACCTAAAATTGTGTCGCTAAGGAGACTGAATAAAATTATCTGAATTGAAATTCAGCCATATATTTCAAATCCACTTTTTTCCTTGCCACTACTTTTAGGTCAGCATTTAGAAATTCAGCTAGCTAGCTTAACCGTTAAGGGTGCATGTCTGGTGCATGCGTTTGGAGAAGCTTTCCAGCTTGCTATGGCTCGTGCCTGCTTCCAGTTTTTCTCCCTTCCCCCCCCCCCCTCCTTTTATTTTCTTTTCTTTTTTTTTTTTTTTAAATCCTTTCCTTCTATCCCTCTAAAAACATAACTTACACCGCAGGACTCAAGGTTAAAGCACCTCATCCATTTGAAGGGAGAACAGAGGGACTTAAAAAGTCTTTACCAGTTAAAATTCACTAAAAGTTGAACGCAGTATGTTGAGACACAGATTCATCCCAAAAAATCTGGTACAAAAACTAGTTATACTTCTTTCCGTATCCACACCAACAACAGTACAAAGAGGAACTCGTTCTTCCCTCCACCCCCTTCAACTCATTTGAAGATCCTTCTGACTTGAGTGAATTCTGAGAAGTCAGGTTTTATGAAGTGATCTCTCCACATGTCCCTGACCCAGATAACTAGTAAATTTATTCCAGGTGAAGAAAAATACAAGATTAAGGTTGTTGGTTGGCTGGTTGGGGGTGCGTGTGTGTGTGTGTGTCCATCCATCCAATACCGTGGTTAAAGAAGATGGCATAATTCGCAGGTAGTGTGTATTTTTGTGGCATACTGCATAAAAAGCATCACAAGTACTTCTGGAAGTTTCTCTGAACTTAACGTAAAGTGAACCCTACAGTAAGCAGTCTCAAACATCAGATTCAACAAACTCTGGCAGAATGAGCTTCGCCTCCATGTTCCACCAGCGCACACCTCCATACTGACTAAAGAAACAACTCTCAAAAGTCAGAAGAAATTTGAATTTCTGTTGTGTATGTCTCAGCCTATGCTGCAATTTCAGCTAAGGAGGATTTTGTGACATCTCCCCTTGACAAAAACAGACCTAGAGCAATTCCCACAACGGACAGCTCAGAGCTGCTGTTCTCTCTTCCACTTGCTACTGACTGCTACTTAAACTGCTGCTGACTTTTGGGTCAAAGGATCCAGACTCGAAACCGGCAAGCCCAAAGCTATTCCAATGCCTGCAATGACCTGTTAACACAGATGCAATCAAATCTTTTTGCTGTTTTCTACTAAAAAAAATCCACAGTAGGTGTTTATGACCACCTGACCTGCACCCTAGCTTTGAGGAAGCCTCCTGATGTCAGTGTAGTACGTAAGATGCAGAAGGTCATTAACCCTATCCAGCTGAAAAACATCACAATTCAAAGGGTTTGATCAAAAACATCACTTCTGGTAGATGAATTATCTAATAAATGTAAAAACACAGCATATAAACATATTAATAAGGGGTATTTTTTCTCATTACTTCATTTCATTTTACTGTAAATGGCTCTGGAACTAAACCAGAGAACCTGGTATGACTTCCCCTGAATCTGAATGTAGTCACGGGAGCATGTATGCTATGTAATAACCTTACACAAACAGGTTCAGACAACATTAAACCTAGGTGGAGACCCTTACAGTTTACCATGATCAAGTATGTCAGCTGAGATTTTCTTTTAAGGCTATGGCTTTCTGATTTATTTCAATTTGGTGATAACTCAGTTGTCAAATTTTAACCCCAATTAACAATGACATCATGTAACCAAGATAAAAGGTCTAAACTTAAATTCATTAGTGGATCTGCTAAGCTAAGAATGGAATCAGTAGGACATAGTTTAATTGCTTTGCTATGGGAAGAATTCTGCAATCAAATTATTAGAATGGTGTTAAGGACATCTTTTATCTGTTATAATAGGATGAAGAAACTTATCTTCTAAAGAATATAAATACAGAGCATGTTCCAGTTACCCAAAATACCACTTAAAGAGCAAGGTTTAGAACAATCCCTTAACCCGCATATATTTTTAATCTGTGAAGAACTGCAGTAAAATATTCTAACTCCTTTAAAAAATTAGGACAGAATTGAGAACTAGCTTTTGAGTAAGTAACTAGCTGTGCTAAGGGGGGGAAGGAGGGGGAGAAAGATTAAACTATAGTTTACAGAATTTAAAAAAAAAAAATCTTTGCAAAGTATCTCACTTCCGTTTTACTTCCATGCTAGGTAATGAACATTCCCAGATCTACCAAAATAACAATTCCTAGGATTTGTGTGATTAAATGGTAACAGCAGACTTTAAATGATTTCTTCTTTTAAAGACAGAGATTCTAATAGCAACAAACCGAGTTATTTTGTTTGATTCCTCTCTAAAAAGACCTTGAACGTCAATCTGACCTCTCCTGTTCTACGGAAGGATCACTGGGAGGCAAGAGAGACTTGGCACGTTTTCACAGAAACGTTGAGAATTCCTGTTATTATTCAATCCTTAAAATGGATAGGAAGATAAAATACATCAGAACTAAAGGATAACTTTTTTGCTCAACTTTGAAGATAGTCTTTTCAGCTTACCTTCTGAACCAGGTTGCTCCTTTGTTTCTGTTTGAGTTTCGTCAGACTTTACTTCAGTGCCATCTGCTTGTGTTGACAAATTCTGTTCTGGTGCTGGACTTGAATTACTACTGTTTTCTTGTTTTATTGGAGAAGCATCAGCTATTGAGCTCTGGTTGCTGTTATCATCTGTTAGGAAAAAGAGTTTAAACCAAGAAACTCTAGCTCAATAAGATCCGAATAAAAAGGACACCTTAATTCTTCCATATTTAATTTTTCACGTATTATTCCCAGATAACGTAGGCCACAGTCTAGCCTGTTGGAGAGCTGACCAAATCCAGAAGCATATAGACTAATACTATGCTTAAACTTTTTCTGTACCACCACCACAATGATTTCTGCCCTTGCAGCCTATGCTGTAATAATGTTTTGACTTGAAAACACCTGTATTAGTTAAATTACTAGCATGAAAGCTGATCCACCTCACTCTGCATTTGTATAACATTATATTCAAAGACCTACAGGAACACATAGTTGGTGATGGGACCATCCCTTTTCAGAGCAGCCTGAAGTCGGATCAGATTAAGCTCATCATGAAATTGTACAGTATGGCTTAAAAACACAAACGATAAACAATAAAAAAAGAAAGTATTATATTCACTTCACGGATGGGGAAACCAGGCGTAAGAAAATGAAATACTCTGACCAAGGCAAAAGTTAAGAAGTCTGCCACACAGATCAAAAATTAATCCAGATCTGCGAATATCCTGCTCAATCCTTTAATCACAAGGCCATGCTTGCTATGAACACTGCAAAGGCTAACCAGGAGGCAATAAAAATGCAGATAAAGCAGAAACAAAAAATTTATATCCCATCAAAAAGTGATTCTCTATAATCAGCTCAACTACTGCCACATTCTCAGCCATAATTGCTATCCAAACACCTAGAAGCTACAAAATTAAAACAGAGCTGAGCTGTGAAGGCTCCTCTGCAATAAATACCGTGTTAACACTCAACAGTTCACACTTTTTTATTTTCTTAACTGATCTAATAGGGCCTAGCTCTGGCAAGCAAAAAATGTTTTAACTAGTTAATTTCGGCAAGCTGAAAACTTCCCCGCAGAAGGAAGACCCAGCGGAACCACAGCTTGCTTTCTTAGCACTGACAGAATTCTTCTGCCCTGACTCACCTGCAGCTGTTAAGAATGAACTCTAATACAGTCAAACACGCACAAAGTCAGCACAAACAATGGCAGGGTGGGGAGGGGGAGGAGGATCTTTTTTCTTTTTTTTTTTTCTTCCCCCTTCCCTCTCTCTCTCTCTCTCTGAAGCAGCAAGTTCTACAGTGTTATTATGTCACTTAGGTAACTGTATAGCATTCCGGATGGTAGATATATGTATTTGTTTTCATATTCAGCTCCAGTAACAACTTGCTTTCACACACAACCCAAATGAAAGTGGCATTTAATAACTGTTAAAACATCTACAAAATAGAAATCCAAGGCACCAAGTGAGTATCTGAGGTCATTCTCACTTTGGCCCAATCATGGTGCTGTCCATACGTCTGAGTAATGGAGAATCTGACACGGTTAGCTTATACTTTCATAGTAGTTCAACAGGGTAATCGGGGCTGACCTTCTCCCACTCACCATGCATGTCCATCATCCCTGGAGAGGAGCTGTTTTCTGGAGTGGTAACTTCCGAGCCACATTTTTCATCTTTGCCTTTTTTCTTGTTCTTATTTTTCTGAGAAAAAAAGTACCCCCCAAACAAACTAGATGATCACCAGGAAGAAAAATTCACATTTCAGTAAGACTCCTCCCACTCATTACTTTGTAAGCATCTCACTTAACTTCAGCGGTTCTTGGGTTTATTTCTCACTTGAAAGCTATCAAGAATGCATTAGTCCCCATGACCACAGGGACATTTTTGTAATTGCATTCTTTGTGAGTGTCACAAAGCACTAGAATATCTAGGTTTTTATCCAGATATTCTAGTGATGGTTAGCACTTGAACATGTTTTTCATCTTCAAACTACTGCACGATTTTGGTAAGACTACAAAGTTCTCAGTGCCATCCCTCATTCTACACACAGGGAATCTGAGGCACAATGACCAAGTGCCTTGCTAAAACCAAGTAAGAGAATTTGGGAGGTGCTGGCTGCTAACTTTGTGTTCAGTCCAACGAGCTACCAAAGCGAGGTCTAAAAGAATCCCTGCTACAACAATTAAAGGGAAGAACATCACTGCTCAGAGATTCTCATGAAACTACTTGATTTCGGAGCTCATACTTCTGCTCGCTGTATGGTATGTACACTATGTATACTAACTCCCAGCTACAAAACTCTGTATAGTCTCTCTTATCAGGAAGCTTGTACAACGCACCTAGAAAGTACGCTCGAGTGCACAACAGGAACGAGGAGGGAGATCTAGGATTTTAACACTAAGACAACAGCTATTTACCTCTTTCTCAATGACCAAGATTGCAGAGACCCCCCCCCTTCCCTACACCTAATGCTGTTTATTCATCAAAGGATGGATTAAGAAAAATCAGACTGGCCTAAAACAAAGAGCTTAAAAAAGATAGTCCTATATGAACAATAGGTCATAACGCATTCACGACCAAAACAACAGTACAAACTGCAAGCATTAAAACAAAGGAAGAGACAGCGGCATCCGTCACGTGGAAAATCTGTCTGCTAAGGGATGCAGCATTTTCAATTAAGAGGTGACGTAATCGGTCTCATAGGAGAAAGAGCCAGCTGCACTGCTTTTGGAGGATCCTGCGTGCCTGCTGAGAAGACAATTAAAAGCCTGACTCGAGGAGGAATGCTCAGCAACCCATCCATTCAGATAAGACAATGCCCTCCAACAAGGGAGGGAAATAAAACCACAATCAAATATAGTGTAAGACTATAAGAAGTCTAAGACTGCAGAAGAAATTCAACAAGTGAGGTCTGGAAGGATTCTTCCCTTTATCTTAAATATATTATTTGGTTGTTTTTTTTTTTTTAATTGCATTACTTCTGAGAGAACAAAAGAAATAACTCACATTTTATTCCCATATATGGAACTGAGGTGAAAGCATATGGAGTTCTTTAACCTTGCAAAACTAAAGTTCAGAGGTGATACGATCTCTCGCAGTGATTTTTTTTTCCCCTGGTAAAGTGAAAGGCCACTTTTGGCACAAGAGAAACATTGATAAAATGACCGCAAGCAATTTAAGCGGAGAAGGTTTTTTTTTTTTTTAATAATAATAATAAAAAAAGCTTAACTATCAAAGCAGTGAGGTTCCATAACAGCCTTTCAAAACTAGCAGGAGGAAAGAGCCCACCTAACTAATTTTACTTTTTAAAAAAGGTCAAAGTGGCTTAGGAACAACATGCAGGAGGGAAGAAGAATCTAATCTGCGTTCTCAATAATGAAAAACAATTTCCATTTGAAACATGGAGCAGTAGAAAAGACTCCATTCCTCTATTCTAGTAAAAAGCAAGTACACTCCATCTGCTCCTGCAGAGGTAGATGAAGTCAGGCATAAAAGGATGCCCATAACCAAACAGACAAAATAACCTCTACCTGATATTTATTTGTTAAATATATTCAGATTTTTTTGATGAGAACTTCCAGAGCCTAAATACAAACCTTGTGACACCAAGTCCGCAGCATTTGCGGTAGCACGACAGCCTCTACTTGTGACAAGTAGAATGTGATTGTAGGATGCTAAAGTGACTGGTTTTGAAGGAACGTCCTAAGTTCAGCAAATTTGGGGTGTAAATGTAAAAATACTGGCTCAAATGCTGCAATTAAACTCTGCACATACAAGACCTTTATGTAAACCCAGGCTTCTTAAGATAGAACCTGACTTTAGGATTGGTAGCAGTCACTTTGAAAATTAATCCAAAAACCTCACTAGAAATTTGTTTTCAAAGTTCCACGGTATCCATCATGCAAGCATAACTTAACTGTAGGAAAATAATTTTCAGAAGCCCTTGAAATAGCAACCCACAAGCCTAAATATCCTAAAATCACATAAATAGCACAGCCTTTTCCCCCGTGCATCATAAATAATAAAATCAAGACCAAACATTTGAGAACTAGACAGAATGAACAAATTTGTTAAGAAATCAGGAAAGGTTTCCCAACTCACAAGTGATTATTTCACAGAGATTTCACTGCTCGAGCTTTGAAAGAACACAAGCAGCTCACCCATGGCTTTCAGAGTCAAGAAAATGTTTGGTACAACCAAAGCACAGAAAAAAACTCACTCTGTTTAAAACAGCCCTATCCAAAAATAGGTCTTGAACGTGGACTTTGAATAGGGCAAGCCCATGACACTGACTCTTCTGAAAACTATCATTTTACACATTTATTAACTGAGTAGTGTTTTTCCAAATAGGGTTTAATTCACACTTCAAATAAAGTAAAACCACGGGATAGCCCAAGGAGAGAGCACCAAATCAACTGTGTCATCAATTTACTGCAGGACCATCGATTAATATTCTCTATAACACTATCTCCATTTATAAAATAGGAATAACATTGATAACTAGAGCTGAAAACAATGTGTAGGTGCTGTCAACTTTGATTTTATACTTGCTGTTCTTATGCCACATGACTGTATCATGGGAAATAAACAGTACTTCCCCAATGCACACTAAGAATGTAAATATAATACATCTACAAAACATTTACCATGAGAAAACGGACGTTACAATAGAAGCATCTGCTGTACTGCTTGGGTTGGACATCTGAAGCGATGATCTCACAGTTCCACAGGATTTTCCTAGCCTTACTTCAATATTTTTTACCTCTCTTTGATCAAAATGGCAGCGATGCTTAATGATGCAAAGATAGAGGAATGCATTCGCTGAACAATTTCATAGCAACTACTCTGCTCTAAAGCATCAGTCAGAAAAAAAAGGAACTGTAATTTTTCTCCTCCCCCCATTATTATGTTGGAAAAAGGTTTCAAAATCAATTGCAAATAGACTACAAAAGTTATAAGTTTCAAGCCCAGTGTTTAATAGTCATCTGAGAGTTGATCCAGCTCGACTCAGGAAAGACTGCCACCTACTGAACCATCAACATCACTTTCTGTGAAGATCATCGATTCCCCTAGAGCTCTTATATTCAAATGCTGGCAAGACCCACACCAGTCTTAACTTAAAGGCTCAAAGAAGAGAACGCATATTTCTTTCGACCTTCCCTAGAAATGATTCTCTACATCTGGAAAAAACAAGACATTGCAAGATACTTACATCATCCACTTTAGGCTCCGTTACTGGTACCCATTTGTAAATCCTTAGGGATGTGTCGCCAACTGTCACCCACTTCTTCTCCCTATAAAATTATAACGCAGGAGAAGTTAAAGTTAAATTTCATATTCAAAATAAGGTGATCTACTATTGTAAGTTGTCAAGGATTTAAATAGGCTATTAAGTAGGATGATCTCTATTACATCGTCTTTAGTGCCGCATTGTGCAAATTGTTCTTTGCGTTTCAAAAATTTGTTAGAGCTCTGCTAACTTCCAGAATTGTGAGGGCTGTTACTTGTCTAGGTGAGTAACTGCAGTAGCAGTGATAAGATCTAGATTAAAGGTACAGTTAAGAAGAACAGCTATTCACAATGCAGACTTAATGCTTACAGTTTTCACTTAACTTTCTAGAGAGAAGCGTTTTTAGACAGACCAGTGTGTTGTGGTTGTCATGAAGTTGTTCAATGGTATTAGAAATCTAGATGCATTTTGACCATCTGAGGTTTATTTCTGGATAGAGATTTGCTGTTAGCAATTTAACATTCACTCAACGCTCCTGTCAGACAGTTCTGAAATTTTAGCCTTAGAACCAACAGCCTTCTTGGTAGCACTATGCGCTGCAATGCAGAATTCAGATCCAGGAGAGCCTAGCTCCCTTGGACAGGAAAGGCTGAGAACGCTATCAGAGAGGGAAACAGCATAACCTGCAGCACTCTGCGCAGACCCTGCCAGCCAGCCATGAAGTCATGACACTGACAAGTTGTGAAGGAAATCTGGCTGGAGGGTGTCACTACATTAGGGGGTCACGCAGACACAGAGTGCAGAGATGGAAAGGATGCTGAACGCTGAGTTAAGGGATGAGTTCCTTGAGCACTTTACAGCAGAACATTAAAGGAAGGTCCATAATGCCAGAGAAATTTCATCAAGTTTCTGCGATCAGTGTTCAGGTCACAGATTACCGCTGCTGGTTCCTGGGTTTGCAATATAGCTCTGTAGATGGATCAATTAAAAGTGAACACCACAGACCAATTCCATTAACTATTCAGGAACATCTGAAATTAATTTGGCATGAGATCTCAAAATAAGCATTTTTGTTGTTTCTTTTTTAAAAAAACATTTAAATAATACATCCGGAATCCAGTTACAGATTTAAAAAAATGTTCTTTGCAGGATGGGAGAAGCTGGATGTGACTCCAAATACATATGCAATATTGCCATTTTTAGAAAGAATTTCCTGAATCAAAAGCAGCAACATTGTACAAATGTCTCAAACACCCTCCTGACTATTTGTTTTAGCTACTAAAGCCAATCTTATTTGTTTTCCCTTTAGAGGGGACACTTTCCCATTAAAAATAAAAAATAATTTTAAAAAAACGAACATGGCAATTTGATAATTTTTGGATCTGTCCACAAGGATGTTTTAATTAAAGTACACAACTATTTCAGATTCATTTCTTTCCCACTGCACTTCCAGGAGCACAGTTTTTCTAAATGTGTTTAGATTCATCCATTTAGGCACACTAGATGGCTAAAGTATTTCAAAAAATCAATCTTATGCTAATTTGGAGCTCTACTGGTAAAGGTGATAAAAATGACAGTGGAGATGAGGGCATGTCAATAATGAGAGCAGACTTAATTGTGAAGAGATGATCATGATATATATATATATATATTTTTTTTACGGATACAAGACAAACTCAACTTATTTCTAGTTAGGAAAACCTTTGAAATTATGGAAATAAAACCAGCTGGGGAGTTTTGTTTTGGGTGGGGAGAGGTGAATAAATGTTTAAAAATTAATATTTTAGTCTTTTCCTACAGCAAAATATTACTTAGAGATGCTGCACTGGAAAACCAAAAGTTCAAGATACCTGTTAGCATCTCAAAGCAGCCTCACACAGCATCTTCACTGGACAGACTGTAGAACACAGGAGGAAACCTATATTAGTAACTTTTTCCTTCTAGTATTAAAGTTAGCCCTGACATTTTAATTTTTTTGAGCTTCTTAAGTACCACTTTAAATTGTGATAACCTTCAGCTGTAGGGATTTTTTTTTCCTGATTTCAATACATAGTATTCCAGACAACAATGGGAATAAGGATATTTTGTGATGGAAGTACACCAACATCCCAGTCCTGCAAGCACTCATGGTTAAAAAGAAAAACCAACATTGAACTGTTATTATTCAAATATTTTTACATGTGTAAGCATTTGCAGTATTGAAACTTTAAGACCATAAAAGTATTATTAAGAAAACAAAAGACAAGCTCCTCTAAAACTCTTAATAAAATCACTGGCAGCACAAACAAATTTGTTAATAAAGAAATGTAATGGAGTTTCAGACATTTAGGATCAACAGAGTAAAACAACTTCAGAATTTAAGATGTTTATTGCAAATAAAACCTAAAATATCTGTAGTACTGCCTTTTTGTTTCAAAACAAATAAATAAATAAAAACCCCACAGTTCTACTCTGATCTCTCACTTTTTTTTTTTTTTTTTAAATCATTTGTGCAAAGTCACAACCCCAACCTGCTGTTCAGGGACGTTCCTTTTTATTTAGTTAGGACTGGCGGTTTATTTATGCTGCCCATAACACTAAGTTTGCTAAATGCTGCACAAACTACAAAATATTCTAGTTGACCACATGCCAGAGTCAGAACAAGGAACTCCGGAGCTCTCGTGCCCGTTTTGCTGTGAAACCCTGGTGAGTTTCTCACATGTCTTCCTGTCCGTAAAACGGATCTGCTGTTGAATCCACTCATCTTGAGATGCTGACCACAACTCCACCCCAGGTAAGTCTATTCCACCTCGGGAAGGCAATCACTAGGCAATACTTTTTATTGCACTGCATCTTGCCACACTATACAGAACGATCTCTGTATTGACTGGTGAAGAGGAAGAAGCAGAGGAACACTATCAACCTGAGAGTTATTCAGGCTAAGCATTTGGCAGTTACCAAATTCAGTTGCCCGTGTCTACCTGATAAACTCCATAGCTTTCCAAAAAGCATTTTCCTGGTTTTAAACCTGTTCTTCCATAAACGACCCAAGCATAACAAAAATAAAACGTCAAAACAGAAAATAGATACAATACTTCTCAGTATGGAAGATTAAAACCAAGAAAATGAAATTACCTTAAATATTTTAATTATAATAAATTCAGAAACTAGTCAATTCAACGGAAAAACATCCTTACATTTATCTGAAATTGCGTTAAAGCATTCTTACATTTTGAACCATACCATTTTAAGGACAGCCAAGGATATGTATGGTAAGCATTAATATCAACACTTTTTTAGTTCTTATGCCTGAGGCATACTACTACCCTAGAACTTACATACTTATATACTAAATTCCCCACTTTAAATAACCCAAGACTCTTAAATACATTTATATTTCGAATAATAACACTAAAGCTCCAAAGATGAGCATCAAATTCTGTGTATAAAAGTAATATACTGGTGAGCAAATACAACAGCGTATATTACACTTATACATAAGGTGTCAAGGCAGCTTTTGCAGCAGCAATGAGTGCTAGAAACATTCGATGGCAGGGAAACAGAAAGCCTTTACTGCCAATATACTACCATTCAGGAAAAGGCTTTCACCCTTATTTGGCTTTTTACCATGACTACCACTTATCATAGTGATTTGCATTTACACAAGGATTTGCTCCCACATACCCCATCTTCTGTTGATGATCACGAAGTGACGTCATAATGCTGAATTTATCACATCACACTCACTTGCATTGCAACAGAGTTTGGTGAAAATCACAGAATTATGACCTCCCTGTGGGATCAAGCAAAGGAGAAAGGGGAATGGGAAAGAAAATGCCATTATTACACACACAAAGTGCTGTCAGATGCAGAAAAAGAGAGGGTTTTTTGGTTTTTTTTTGTTTTTTTTTTTTGAAATGCAGGCTTGCCTTTCAGAGCACGCCTATTGCTACGTAAAAGTTTGTCTAGTGACTAACATGAAGCAGCCCTAAGCATATATGGCGTCTCTGGACCATGCTGCAAATACAATAAAATATAACGTAGCACTAAAATGAATGGAAAAGATTAGAGGTTAAGGACACCTCTCTCACAGTTTATTTAAGTATGCTGCATTACAAGAGTCCCCTTTAACTTACATATGCCAGCATGTTTTTGAGCAAGTTTTGCTAGGTTCCACATTGCAACAAGCACCTTGTCTTACAGTAATGAGAAACATGGCTTTACATATGATAAAACTCCTCCTTTACATATATCCAACTTTCACTCAAGTCAGAGAGCACATCCTGGCTCGAAAAGAAATAATTACGAGCCAGAAAAACTATCTCGCAATTCGACCAGGATAACTGCGTTTGGATCACTGCAATATTTCAAAGTATTTCCTCTGCGCACACTAGAAGATTGTTAACTTCAGTCACCACTACGTGAAGTACACTCTTAGCAGGAAAGCAAACTCAGCCAATGTCTTAACAACCAGTAGCCTGACTAAACGAGAGGGACAACCTGGTAGTATCAAACAGTCAGTCTTTTCCAAAGACATCATGTTAAGAAGTTCTATGTCTTAACTAGACTAGACTTTTGAAATTGAAAATCTATTTTAAGAAGGAAGCATGAGCAGCAAAACCTGCAGAAGCTCAGTCTCGGAGCATTACATACCACACAAAAATATTTCACGAAGTCTGAAAGGAGACAATGAACAGAAAAGCCACAGTAGCACTGCTTAGAAACTCTGCACCCTAACTAGTCACCTCAGCCGGTGCTATCTGGGAAGGTAACGTGATCTCACTGCCTATAGTCACTTTGCTCCTCAACTTTTATACAACATGCTTTGTTTTAAGGTACATCCCAGTTAAGTCTGTTTCAACAGCTGATTCTCTTCCCTAATAAGTCTTTTGCACTTTCTGTAACTACTTCCATCAGTTCTCCAAGTTCACCTCTTCTTTATGAAGCGCTATCACTATCCCTAGGTTACTGCTTTGATAAACGGGGGAGAAAAAGGTAAAATGACTTACGCAAAGACATCGCAATTCAATGACAGGACAACAGAATAAGATTTCCTCATTCCTGGTGCATTCCCTAGATCAGGACACTTGTCCCAGTCAGCCACACCGTGCCTCCATCCTTAATGTTTGCACGGCTGTCCGAAAGTTCAGAAATCCTAGTTACCCACGCAAATCATTTCACTGCCTCCTTAGACACCCAACTACTTACACTTGTATACTGCCCACTATGTGTTCTCACCAGTAAAACTCTCTGCATTTTCTAGCATTTAATAAATCTTTTATAAAAAAAGAGCATTTCCATTATTTTGTAATGCTGGCTGAGAACGCAACAGTTTTCACCCCTTTCTGCTTGAGGGCCTGTTTAAGACCTACATATACTTGCCAATCTTTAAAACAAAAGATAAGCCCATATTGTTTATAATTCATTAAGTTAAATTTAACTCAGATGACTGTTTAATAGACTGGAAGAAACGTGACAGCTATTAAGAAGAAGTAGGTCTATGCTCTTAGCCATGGAAATACAGCGTTCTGCCACACAACCATGTATTTTGTAGGAAACATATTAGGTGTCTTCTAAAATAAATGCTCATTCATGAGAGTGATTTAAACGAAGGAGATTAGTTTTAATCTCGAGATTAACAAAACTATAATAACTCCACCGTTTACTATTATAAGTCAAGTTCCAGTAATACCAAAAGTGCTAGGCACGATACAAGCACGCATGAAGACAGGTGCCTGCACCAAAGGATGGATTTCTGTCTAAGAAAGAATTCATATTTCCTACGGGACAAACTCTGTACTGATGGAAACTCACTTCAAATAGGCATGCACACACACGTGGCAATACAGGCACACAGTAACACTCTACAACAAGGAGAGTTGCTGCTGCACACCTTCACCTACTGATGGGAGTGCTGGCCAGCACGCACCAGGGCCGCTGTCAGTTCAGAGAGGTTTGCAATACAGTCTGCCCCGCTTCTGTCTTCAGTGCGGAAATGCGACATGTACAAGTCTCAGAAAATTCTGTTCTATGAAACACCGTATGCAAGGTTTTTTAATCCTCAGTGGCTGCATTTCCACAGAAAAGCTGTGGATGGCAACAAATTGCTCCTATTATGCAAATGAAACTGCACACTGAAAATTGCCTATGTGGCTCTTTGTAAGATATAGGAATTGCTAGCGTATAAAGTTCAGTTTCACAAGTCTTCTCAAAACATCTGAACCACAAAACATAGAATCTCTCTTGCTAATTTTCAATGTACTTGACTGCAAGTGAACAGGGGGAAAAATAACCATGAGCTATACCAGCAAATTATTAATTCTTTTAAAAATATGAAAAATGGTTTGTGTAAATACTTGCGAGATGCACACGCAAAAAGCCATATGAATACTTCTGACCGTAATCAGAAGAAACACTTCACATGATTCTGTACAGTAACCTTTTCAAACAAGCTCTCTCTCAGGAGGGTTAAAATGTACAAAATCTATTTATACCCTAAGATTCCTGTTTTATAGGGGAAGCCATAGCAACTGACATGATGGCAGAAAGCCCTTGCCAAGAGGAAAAAAAAAAAAAAAAAAAAAAAATT